AGGCTGACGCGGGTTTAGTAGCGTCCAGAAGTGCACTGCCGCGCTCCGTCAGTTAGTGTACGGGACAACATCTGATATGTTCGACGAATACTTGAAGATGTCGGCTCGGAGCATCAGGTCCTGTGTTTATAAATTTTCTAAAGCTATTATTCAAATTTATCATAAAAGATATTTACGCAAGCCTACAGCGAGTGACATCCAGCAGTTGCAGGCAAGGCATGCCGCTAAACACGGCTTTGTCGGCATGCTTGGGAGCATTGATTGCACGCATTGGGGATGGAAAAATTGTCCCACATCGTGGCACAGTCAATTCTCCCGGGGAGATCATCCCAAGCCTACTATCATGCTCAAAGTTGTTGCTTCGAATGACTTGTGGATTTGGCATGCTTTTTTCGGTGTCGCGGGCTCGAATAACAACATCAATGTTCTCAATCAATCGCCTGTTTTTGACGATTGGGTTAATGAGACCGCACCGGACTCCTCTTTTGAGCTTAGAGGGACGCTTTACAAGCGTGGATATTATTTGGCCGATGGAATATATCCAGATTATTCCACGATTGTCAAATCCCTCTCCAAACCAATGGGTCTTAAACGCCAGACCTACAAAAAAGCTCAAGAGGCGGTGAGAAAAGATATTGAACAAGTCTTTGGGATTTTGAAGGGTAAATGGCACATTCTAGATCGTCCTCAAAATGTTATTCTCAAACAAAAATGAGGAATATCATGTAGGCATGTATTGTTCATAATATGATCATAGTGGACAATGGGACTGCGATTTGTCAATACAACCCGGACGAGGAGGTGCCTATGTACGAAGAAATCACCGAAGATAAGAAACGAAGAAACCGCCAAGAAATTCGAAGCCGGGAGATTCACAATGCACTAACGGCGGATTTGATCGAACATATCTTTAGTCGCTCGAATAATTAGTGATTTCTTTGTAGTGTTATTTTTTTATGTAATATTTTTTTAATGAATGTAATTTTTTAATGAATGTATTTTTTATGAATGTAATTTTTTTTAATGAATGTAATTTTTTTTGCATGTATTTTTTTATGAATGTGATTTTTTTTAATGAATGTAATTTTTTAATGCACTAGTCTCATTGCAATTAATTCAAATAATAAATTAATTACATTTTATTAATTTAATTTTAGAAGATGTATATTTAAAAATGTAAAAAATGAAGGTTTGAAGCCCACGGGGCTTCAAACTCATTTCCAATGAATTTTGGATGTAAGTTAAAGCTGACGTGACAGAGAGAGAAAGTTTGAAGCCCCGGTTTGAAGCTCCGGGGCTTCAAATGTATTTCCAGTGCCCTCAATAAGGCGATGTTCCTTTGAGTTAAAAAAATTATCATTCAATTTTTTTAAATTTCTTCCATTTTCTTCCAATAACGATTTGAAAATGTATTTATATATGATGAATGTACAATAACATAATACTACCTCCGTCCCAGAGTATTTGTCCATTTTCATTTTTACACATCATCCAATACACTTCTTTAATCCATTTTATCTTGTAATTTGTATATTAAAAAATTATAGAAATTATATATTAATAATCTATATGTTAAGACAAATCAAACAAGATCACACATGACTCTATTTAGGCTTACACATTGAGAGAATTTGATGAGTCAAAGTGCTTAGAAGAACAGTTTCAAAAGTCAAAAGTGGACGAATACTCCGGGACGGAAGGAGTATACTAACTCAAACATAGACAAGAATATACGGTGTATTTTTTTTTAATCCAAAATTAAAGTTTTATTAAATGTTTATTTGAGTGATCACTTAATCAAGTGACTTTTTAATATTTAAATTCTTTCAACACTTTCGAGTTTTTTTCAACATCCAAATCTGAATTGTAACTCATAAGAACATGGCCTAAGTAAAACTAGATGAGTTAGAATAACAAAGTCGTTGAGCAATGTACGAAGTCAATAAGCTTCATTTCACGCATTAAAATTCATTAAGAAATACGAAATCCTTGGATCAATTTATTTTATAGACCTCTTTCCGTTCGCCATAGATTTTTTTCAGACATTATTTATAGGATCAAACTTAACTTACATTATTTGCTTATTTTTACTTCTTATTTCATAAAATAATACGGAGTATAGTCTTGTCACATTTAATTTTATAAAACTTTTTATGTAGTTTTTTATTATATAAATCTAATTTCTATAATCAAATAAATTGAATTGAAAATAAAATTTATTAAACTTCGCAACGCGTATAGAGAGTATTTATTAGTATCGATATTCGATACTAGTGATACTCACGAAAGTGGAGTTGAATTCCCAACTTAATTTTTAGGTGAAAACAAGTCTTTTTATTTGTATACTGACTCCAACTCAAGATTTTTTCTCATAGAAATCATTTTTACTGCTCATACCGTCCCCCTGTATTTGTCCACTTTCATTTTTGCACACCATCCAATGCACTTCTTTAATCTATTTTATCTTGTAATTTGTATATTAAAAAATTATAAAAATTATATATTAATAATCTATATGTTAAGACAAATCAAACAAGATCACACATGACTATATTTAGGCTTACACATTGAGAGAATTTGATGAGTCAAAGTCCTTAGATGAACAGTTCCAAAAGTCAAATGTGGACAAATACAGGGGCACGGAGGGAGTAAGTTTTTCTTTGTCTAATATGCTTTTATTAAAGTTTAATTTGATTTGATTATAGTTAAATTGCTATTTTTCGTCTAAAAAAATATTACAGTTTGATTTGTTTATTCAAACTGTGTCACACTTTGATTAAAAATTAAATATAATTTTAAATAATTAAATGTTACAAAATTTTTATATATCAAATCTATTTCTTTAAATGAGCCAAGTTTTATAAAATTTACATTATAAGTATATATATACTTTTTTCACCTTAAATTTTTTTCCCACAATTTGTTGTCAAAGTGTAATATATCTTAACTAAAGAATCAAACTCTGATGATATTTTTAGGACGGATGAAGTAAATAATTTTTAATGTGATCCTCTCTGGTTTGATCTGTTATATATTTTAGTGTAATTGGAAAAACTATGAATACTGATATCCTAATAATCATCAAAGACGCGGAGTGCACGTTTCATTGAGTTCGTTAGGACAAAAGTCCCGTTTTTATCAACGGTTCCAAGGGGGCAGCAGGGGCTTGGCAGGGGTTTGGGGGCAATGCCCCCGATCAGGGTTCAAGGGGCGGCAGCCCTTGCGTGGTCCAAAGGGCAGAGCCCCTGGCTAGGCAAAGTGCTATGTTAAAAAATGCATTTGATTTTTATTTTCGAATTTCTTTTAAAAGAAAAAATCGTTGGGATAGCACCAATTTTTTAAATGTCTCGCGCGAAGGATCGCGCATATTAGGATAAAAAGACGCGATCACGTCTTTTCTTCTCTACCACAATTCTATATATTCCATGAAATCCTTGGTCGAAAGTTGTTCAAAAATTGATAGCAATCCTATATTCGTTCTTGTTACTTTCGAGTTTGATCTGATTTAATTTAGGATTGAACAACCAAAATATTCAATCTGAAAGTGTTATACACGACTCTCAATTGATTCGCGTTATCGTTATTTTCCCCAACAAAGATCTAATCTAATTTCAATAAAAAATCAAAATAAATACTCCCATCGCCCTAAAATATTCTCTCCATTTTAGTTTTCAAAGATGGACTAAAATTAATTTCAATTCAATTTATTTGAATATACCTATAAAATTTACATACTTAAAATTACATAAAAAATTTTAAATTAAGAAGGAATTACTAATATTTAACTATATAAATACTAACTGAAAAGAACACTTTAAGATAAATGAGGTAAGAAATTATAACAGAGCCGTTAATAATTGACCTCTAGACATTTTGATTCACAAACATAAGAATCACAAAATAGAGAGTATAAAAAATTGTAAATTATGTATATAATTTTTTAGTTTTTAGTTTTATTTATTTAAAATAATTAAATTTTATTCTCAGATACTCTCTCTGTACAAAAATAAAGTTCTCATTCACTATTCACAGGTTAAATTTTATTCACTTTTTTAGTCTATTTTCGTGTGTTATTCGATAAAATAATGTAGTCATGTCACAATCAGTTTTGTAGATCTTTTAATATAGTTTTTATATATGTAATTTTTATTTTTTAATTGCATACTATTTTACATACTCCCTTGTATTCTCGAGGCAAAATATCAAGTTTTTTCAATTTATTTTATTTACATATTGGTATAGAAATAAAAAATAAATTTTAAATATCAAAAAACTATATGAAAAGTTTTTCGAAATAAGAGGTAACAAGAATATTTTATTTTATCAAATAACTAATGAAAACATAGAAATAAACAAAAGTTTCCGCGAGTGCTGAAAAGCAAGGGAGAAAAACCAAAGTAGGACTAAAACATTGAAGATATACCAAAATAGGACTTTCATGTTTTTATTCCCGAAATAGGATTTACATTACCAAACATGGTCATATACATTACCAAGAAAGTATAGTAATTTGCACATATACACTGCCACATTACCACAATGCAAAGTTCTATTCCGGAAAAAAAACATGAAAGTCCTATTTTGGAACTTTTCTTTATGTTTTAGTCCTATTTAAGATGATTTCTTAAAAAGCAAACGTTGCAAATAATTTGGGACAGAGAGAGTATAAAATAATTTTCAAAAAAATACAATCAAATATTGTAACGCGAGAACTTTATTTGAGTATATCTATTCCGAGGACTCTCGAAGTAGTGGCACATTCGAAATATACCCCAAAAGCAAGGGCCATAATAACATCACGCGTAGAGGGGCAAAATCGGAAGACTTCGGGGCAAAGTAACCAGTCTAGCATCCAGCAGAGCAACGAAGAGCTCGCGAAGCTTCGGGCGCCACGTGTCAGACCCTGCGGCCGCAATAGCACCACGACTAGGCATGGGATTTGCCACGTCACCAAAACAGATCAATATCCCGCGAATTAAAAAAAAAATCTCGAGACTGGAGAGAAGTGTCTGGAGAACAATACCCCATCGGCTCTTCCGTCGAAAAGCTTCCAGCACATCTCCAAATATCTCTGCAAAAAATATAAGAGAAGAATTGAAAAACTGAGAAACTCTTGATTATATATTCCTGGAAATCCGATAATTCCGAGCGAAGGTCGATCGGAGAGAAGGGAAAAGCGATAGGGTTTGATCGTGGTTGCCGGAAGAATAGATACTTCGGCGAATGTCTTTTGAGAACACTGAGAGGTATGGCGATTCTGACATCAACTTAGGGTTTTTTCCGTTTTTATTTTCTGCATTGAAATTCGTTTGTGTTCTTGAAATCTGTGGTCTGGGTTTGATTATCAGCTTTGTGTGCGATTCATGCTCTGCATTTTGTCGTCTCTGTTTAAACCCTTTGGGATTTAGGGTTTTAGCGCTTTGATTTTACTTCGTCTGCGCTAAAAAACGTTTTATCAGAGATTTGCACTGAGAGTTTTAGAATCATTCAGATAGATGGATATTTTAGGCTAATGGGATTGTTTTCACCTTTTGGATTTATTTCTTATATAGTGTGACGAATCCTTGAATGCTCCGTATTAAAATTGTACGAGTTCATATTTTGTTTTACTGGCTATATTTCTTGGTTGTGGAACACATAAGATTTGGCCTATTTTATTGAAAAGTTGCTGCCGAGCTTGGGACATGAGTGTTTAACTTGGTAATTTGAAAGTTTCTGGCTCAAGGAGCTCAAAGATCTTGAATAGTCTAATGCCAATAAATCAGTCTTCCGTTCCCATCCAAAGTCCCAGGACATTAGAAGCCCTAAATGGCTACATGAGTGACCTTCTTTGACATTTTTTTTGGCAATATATAAACTTTGCTTCTTTTGATTCAATCGCAGGAACAATAGTCTGATGGCCATTGCGCACGCTCCTAACTCGCCTTCTATGCACATCGATTTTACAAGAAAGAGGAGAGTTAGAGGCAGAAGGGATGTGTCCAAAGATGTAGCAGAAACACTTGCGAAGTGGAAAGAGTATAATGAGAAACTTGACTCTATGGAGAAGCTTGCCCGTAAAGTCCCTGCAAAGGGATCAAAGAAGGGTTGTATGAAGGGCAAAGGTGGTCCAGAAAACTCGCACTGCAAGTACAGAGGTGTTCGGCAGCGAACTTGGGGAAAATGGGTGGCTGAGATTCGAACACCCCACAAGGGTAGCAGGCTTTGGTTGGGCACGTTTGGCACCGCTGTCGAAGCTGCCCTAGCTTATGATGAAGCCGCAAGGGCAATGTATGGCCCGTGTGCACGTGTTAATCTTCCAGACTATGCCTCATCAAAAGATTCATCTTACACCTTATCAAGGGACTCTTATGCAGAATCTTGTTCTCCACCTGCCACCTCTACATCCAATTCCACCACAACTACTAGCCTATCCGATACTAAAACACAATCTTTGAATGAGTATCACAAGATAAATTATGAAGATTGGAAGGATGATAAACCACAGTTTATGGATGTGGAGCAAGCGGTAAAATGCCAAGATGGGAGGGGCGAATCAGGGATCGAACAACTCAGGGCTAAAGAAGTATCTGCTAGTGTTAATCAAGGGAAGGATTTTCTCGATAACTTCATGTGGGATGAAATGTTCAACGTGGAAGATCTGTTAGGTGTTCTAGACGCTACTCCCTTGATAAATGCCAATCAGCCTCCAGGTTTATCGCTGAAGCCGGAGGATGGGCAACTAGGGTATCTCCAGCAGCAGTTTCCCACAGGAGGTGAAAACAGTCTGGACTTTTTGAAAGCAGGGAGGCAAGAGGATCTCAACTTCACCGTCGACAACTTCAGCTTATTCGACCTAGATTCCGAGTTGGGCATTTGAAGGTTGAGATCAATAGATAGAAACTAGATTTAGCTCTGAAGTGTTTCAAGTGTGTCCAAGTCAACTGGACTTTGGCTAATAAGATATGGAAGATACTTAAAGATGTTTTTCTTCAACTAACAATGCCTGAGCTGCTGGTTCTCTTGATAGTTTTTGGGTTTGAAGAGAACATGCCAGTGAAAAAAATGTCCTTTCTGTAAATGCCACAATTATCTAAATCTAAAGAATGATTGTTTTTTTATTTGGGTCTTAACTCTGTTAGTAGCATATTCTAGATCATTCATATTTTGTGGTGGGTAGAATGTGTTTGCACTTATACAGCGAGCTCGTTTGTCTTCTTCAAACTTTGAAAGAAAGAGAGGTTTAGACACTTAATTTTAACATACTAAAACCATACTTTGGTTTTGTTTGGAAAGAACGTTTCTGATTAGGGTTAGCATTTTGGATAAAATTTTAATGGTGTAGATTAATTTTAAAAATGCTGACATTTAACTTTTCCATAGTTCTAATCCTAACCTGTAACGTTGATGTCAAACGGAGTCTTTGAATCCTACTTCCTTAGTTGTAAGAAACAAATATCTCTATATCCGCACGGGTAGCCCAAGTGGCAAACACTTGGTGAAGTTTGGAGAATGACCAAAGATCGAAACCTGGCAGCAACCGTGTGGGGGCAATTACCTCTGAAAAATGGGAGGAGTCTCTGGTGCGCACTAGGATATGGTCTAGCTTAGTGTTGTGCTTGGGTCACCGTGATTTACCTCCTCTCACATTTCCGTCGGGTCGGGGGTGAGGGGCGCTCGGGGTGAGCGATTTCACCTTTTGGAGAAGGAAACAAATATCTCTCTGATTTTTTTTGCAACAGTTTCCTGCTTCCCATAAACTATGGCCAAATTTCTTTGGGAAGCTCATTGGTGAATTGATATTTCCCACCTTTTATCCGTTGCAATTTATGTTTTTTTTATTTTAAATGTTTAAAGGAAGTGAGTCGATCACTCGCACTAGGAGAAGATATACAAAGTATTTTTTAATCAATTTTTTTTGCCATAATGTTATTCACCAAACTTTTTAATACTCTCACCCTCAAATAAGAATATTGCATTCACGATGTTCGGTTAAAATTGTTTTAATTCAACTCATTTGTATATTTGTGTAAAAAAGAATTTTACCACGGAGGATTTTTGTTTTAAAACAATAACAAAAATTCTACAAAACCTCTTTTTAACCGAAAGTAAAAATTTTACTCCCTCCGTCCTCAATCCCAATTTTATTACAAATTGGAGTTTACGAAAAGAAATATCTCACTTTTTAAAATTATTTTATTTACAAATTAGTATATCGATAATAAATAATAATTACATATTAAAAAATTACGTCAAAAGTTATAGAAAACAAGAAGTGACAAGAATATTATATTTTATCAAATACTTAATGAAATTGCGTAAACAAACAAAAATTATCGAGAGAAGAGAAAAAATTATAATCAAACTGGAGAGGAGACTGCAGGAGTATTAATCACCCCAAAATTCTATTAAACTCTTTCTTTTTCTAAGTCAACATTAGAAAAAGAATTTAATTTTGGCCACTTTTACCCGATTATTATTAATTTTAACTCACTTTATTTAAATACAAACTGTTTGTGTAAATTTTAAAACACAAAGTATATTAAAAATGAATAAAAATCATATAGAAACTGCATCGAAATTTGAAAAAAAATACATTTATAAGTTCTTGCATTGAATTATATAATCGATTAAATTTAATTTTTTAATTTTATTCAACTGAATTATGTTATATTAAATTCTATCAGAAGACGGTTTAAATTAATTCCTCCGTGAGGAAGCCGAAAATTGGAAGGAAAATAGGTGAACTAAAAGTTTGAATTGGCTGATTCCATACCGGTTTAGGGCTGTGTATTCAATTTCGGGTATCGTTTTCTCGAGAATCTTTGATATTTCCGGATTCAAAAAACGATCATCGCATGCTTTTCGCATCTTTTTTTAAAGTATTTAAACTAGTCGACATGAAACTCGCTAGCATGGATCTCACAATGGGGAATTAATCTTCCTGTGTGTGGCTTTTTCTCAACGCTGGAACATATTTTGGTCCGATGGTGCACGTAATGCAAGTAATTCTTGGTTCAGCCTTATGCCTAACTCTCGACGAAAACATTTCCGCAGGCTTTCTAAGGGCTTTTTCGATTTATACAGGATTCCCTACGGGGACCTTGTGCTTTCTCCAGTTATGGCTCTATGCGTATTTACCATAAACTTGCCCCGAGAGTTCCTCCTCTTCTTTCTGAGATCAACTCGGTCTGTGATTATAGCTTATATTAATTATAGCTTATATTATATATATATATATTATAATATAAGCGATAGCCCTCCTCAATGGCTTTCTCTCTTCTTTCTCATCCGCCCGGGCTACCTCCGGAAACGAACGGTAGGGATCTTTCTTTTTAGTCACGATCAGAAGATAGTAGAGCTGGTTATAGAATTATCTTCTTCCTCATCAACCTATAGCCCTATCTGAAATCAAAGCTAGGGTTACGGAAGGGTTTCTTCCTTTGCTTAGGGAATAGGTTGGGGGGTACGGCTGAACCGGAAGGAAAAAGCCTTCGATAAGGAGCGAAGCCACTCGAACGAATGTGAGAGGTTTGAAGACGCTCGACCAACGGGAGAGGTACGAAGTCCCTCTTCGAGCAACTCCCCTCTTCGAGCGACTCCCCTCTTCGAGCGACTCCCGTTGGTCGTACGTTGGTCGTACCTCTTCGAATGAATTCAACGAATTCTCTAGCGACTCAATGAGTTGAACATAGTTCAACGAATGGTCGTACCTCTTCGAGTGACTTCGTACCTCTTTAAAATGAGTTCAACGAAATGAGTTGAACATAGTTCAACGAATCTCTGTCAACGAATAGTGAAACTCATTCGACCTTAAGGGAGAGGTACTCATTCCCGGCCGCTTTCAGTTAGTGTTCATTGCTGAGTGATCGCTCGGCTTGGTCCGGAAGCTTCCTCTCTCCCAGCAAGCAATATTTTTCTCAGTAATGGACTTCCTTTCATCTCGAATTCGAATCTCCGACAGACAGAATCTCCATGCATGCGTTCTACCCTCAGCCATACATCTATTTTTCTCTCTTTATTTTTCTTTTGGCCGTTTTTGTTAGGCATTGAACCCCACCTTAGGTGCTGAGTGGTGTCCTCTCCTCCCTAATACCTAATACATAATTCCGTCTATGGAGCCTAAAGCTTCAACTATGGCATGGCAGTAAGCAGTAAGTTGGCCTAGTCTCTCGCCCAGCCTTCGCCTTCTTCAGTGGCTGAGTTGAAGCGTTCAACGGTTCTTCGCCACCTTTCTTTTTCAAGGTTGAGCTTGTGAAATTGAAGCTAATGCTATGCCCCTTGTTCAAGAGAAAGCGAGGACTTTCTTTTAGCTACCAAAAAAAAGGGATTAGCCTCTTAATCGATCGATTAATTGGATCGAAGTACGAAGGGGTTGATTGAAGTGTGAATCCCGGGCTAAAAGTTTAAAGCTCCAGCTTGGCAGCCGCTCCGTCCGGAAAATTAGCCCAATCTCACGGTCGCAAATATAACGGCACCTCAACCCCCCTCCCCGTATATCTCGGAACTTCTCTTCTCTCTCTCTCTCAAATTCTCTCTTCCGGCTCTCTCTCACAGCAGTCATAGACATGCAATCCACGCTTCTCAAAGCCGCTCCGGCGTTCCATCCGTCGCATTCTCACGGGGATAAGCTGAGTCCTCTGTTTTCCAATGCTTCACCGTCGACGAGTCGTCTTCCGGCGAACACCGCCGGGAATGCGCTCGCGGTTTGCGCCTCCAAGGGCGCGAACAACAAGCCGGTAACCGGCGTCCTTTTTGAGCCATTTGAGGAAGTGAAGAAGGAGCACATGCTCGTCCCGACTGGTCATCTGACTTCTCTTGCCCGCCAGGTGTTTGTCGATGAGTGTGAATCTGCAATCAACGAACAGATCAAGTAGGTCGTTTCGAGTTTCGTCATATATCATTGACTTCGCGATCATGAAATTGTTGTGGATTTACTTTTGGTGATGATGCTGCTGATTAACTTTTTTCCAGTTCAATTTTTCATTTGATGTGATTGCAGCGTTGAGTACAATGTTTCATATGTTTATCATGCAATGTTCGCCTATTTCGATAGAGACAATGTTGCTCTCAAAGGCCTTGCCAAGTAAATAATATCTCTGGATTCTCCAATCCTTTAACGTCTATTCCATTTTTCAAACACTTGTGTTTAAAGTTTTAGTGCTGCATTGTTTTTCTAGTAACTTTCATCCTCACATTGAGTAGGTTTTTCAAGGAATCCAGCGACGAGGAGAGAGACCATGCTGAGAAACTAATGGAATATCAGGTGTTTAAACGATATTTCTTCCCGGACATTATTTAAATAATACTCCGTACCAAAGAATTTCCATTTTGCATTTGTGTTCGCATTCTGTGGTGCAATCAGCTTGATAGAACTCGTGCTGATTTTTATGGTTTTCCTGGTTTTAGAATAAACGAGGTGGAAAAGTGAAGCTGAAATCAATTGTGATGCCTCTGTCTGAGTTTGTTGATGCTGAGAAAGGAGATGCATTGTATGGTAATGTCCATATCTTGCCATTTTAAATCATCCTTTTGTACTCCTAGAAGGCTATAGAAGCATATATTACGAGATTCATGACTTGTTCCAGCATGTAAATGAGCAGTTTCCTTTGATGTCAATCCATATGACACTATAACATTTCTTTTTCTCTCCAAACATAATTGTCAATGTTGAATGTGGACATTTTTAATCTGATTTTACCATTAAAGTTTCCACTCATATGTGATATTGTAGACATTCTTTTGGTCTGATATGCAGACAAACTTTTCTAGAAATGTACAATTTTAATAATGTACATGTGCAAGCATACGGGTTCTACACGACACTTGCCTAGATTTAAGTTGAAATGTTCATTTCACATTCTTTATTAGTGTGTTTTTTTTCCTGTTTATTTAGGTAGGTTTAAGTGTTCTTGAATGCCTCCACACACATATAATACCCCAGAGTATATGCCAATCTTGGAATTGGATTTCATGTCTATTCAATGTGCCTAAAAGGCTAAAACTGTTGGTTTGAATGTAATTCAAATCCGTAAGATGTCCTTTTTCAGTAATATGTGCTATTCTACCTTGCTAGTGTATATTGCAGTCTGATTCACAAACTGATTTTTCTCTCATAGATCTTAAGCTTTATGATTATCCTGGATTATTTTAAGATATTATGATTATTATCTGTGAGTTTATTTTGACAGCCATGGAGCTTGCACTTTCTTTAGAGAAGTTAACTAATGAGAAGCTCCTAAACTTGCATGCTGTAAGTTTTTTTGGCTTCTCACGCTTAACTACACTTATACTGCACACCTATTTTTCTTCACAACTGTAATCAACTCAAGGTCATAGACTTGCATGCTGCAAGAAATATTTTGCTTTCATGTTCAGCTACACTCCAAATCTGTTTTTTACAACAGTTAAAAAATTCAATAATTGGCTAGCTGAAGTTGGTTTCCGAACTCATCATAAAACTATAGAGAAGCTACATTACATATAGAAAGAGTCAAACATGAGATTGCTTATTCCTACAACTTTCTCCTCATTTTTCATTTTAGGTAGTCCCAAAATGTTCCTTCAAAGAATATGTGGTTCACATTTTTCTTTACTTTCTGAATAAATCTCAACCATAGAATTCCATATTTCAACAAACTTGCCAAGAATAAGTGGAGTAGTAAAATCATGGGAGGGAGGGGTTTTTGTGTGCCATTTGGCTAATATGCTTCGTCTTTGATATGAACAGGCGGCTAGTCGAAATAATGATGTTCACTTGGCAGACTTCATTGAAAGCCAGTTCTTGGACGAACAGGTTTGATCCCGATTAATGATGTTGTTGAACTACTGCCGATAATTTAGTCGATAAGCACATCTATGACTGTATACTGATTCAAGGTTCATTGTCACATATATATTAGGTGGAATCAATCAAGAAGATATCCGAGTACGTGGCACAGCTAAGAAGAGTGTGCAAAGGACACGGTAAATCCAGTTTTCTACTTTCTACTCTTTCCAAAACTATCAACCATTTGCCTTGTGATTCAATACCTTTGCATATTAAAATTTCTTACCCAATCCCTGTTTTTTGTGCTCTTAGGTGTGTGGCACTTTGATCAAATGCTCTTCCATGGTGAAGCTGCATGATAGATATTTTGGACAAACTGGTCTGTGATTGTGGCTCCGCTTTTTTAAGATTTTGGATGTGTTTAGTTTCAGAGACTTGTTTTGTTAAAACGCTTGTGTGTTGGGTCTTGAGACAACGACTGGCTTTGAATCCATCTATCTCTTCTTCGGTTTTAAAGTAGGGTATCAGCTCTTGCGTAGTTTGCTTTTAGCTATACCTTAGACTGGAAAAGTGACTAATCAAGCATGATTCCTAAGGGGTGGATAGAAGAAAATTTTCTTCCTCACGTGACTCTATTTTCTAATGCTAAAAAACATAAATTGTGTTCAAAATTTAAGTGACAACACAATGTTTAAATTTCTAAAATTGCCAAATGGAGTATCAATTACTAATGCGTAATTGACACCAACTATGTTCTATGGAAATATGAATATCAATTTATGCACGATAATTTGGTGAGTGTAGCTCTCAAGGTGTGAAACAAATGGATTAACCACCTGTCCACCCCAACACACTTTTACCCACACACTGCATTAACAACATTACTCTAAAAGTCATGAGTTGTGAATAAATTGGGACCAATTTGGTATCCGCATTGCCCCTCAATTTATCTCTACGAGCTAAGTTGTGTGACCAGTTTTAGATTATCTTATTCTTATTGATTAGAAACATTTGTTATAGATCAATGCATATTTTATTATTATTATTATTATTATTATTGTTATTTATATTATTATTATTATCATCGTCATCATCATTACTACTCCCTAAGTTTGTTTTATTTACGGACAAACAAAGTGAAAAAAAATTATTAGCCATAGGGAGTACTCCGTATTATTAAAGTGTACGTGAGATTGACGTGAGCAAATAGTTATACTCAAACTTGCGTTTCTAATTCTTAGCAAGTGCATTTTGTAAACATTAAGAGGCTGTTTGTTTCAACCTCTTAATGATTCAGATGTCTGAATGGTTCAACACTTAATGGTTCAGAGTGTTTGTTTCAGCCTTTTAATGGTTCAGATGTTTGAATGGTTAATAGATTTGCCTCTGAATGGCTAAGTATTATACAAAGTCTGAATAGTTAAGATCTCTTATCTGAATTGATCAGACATTTGCCTCTGAATAGTTAAGCAATATACTAACTCTTAATAGTTCAGACCTCTTATTGGTTCAGCACTTAATGGTTCAGACCTCTTACTGGTTCAACACTTACCTATTCAGAAGTTGCCAAACAGCCCTAAGACTTATTATCAAGTTGTGTTTAAAGATGTTTTGTGCTTGAATTCATACAATAAAGAAATACATAACATGCTAATACATAACATGCATACGTTCAATTTCTATATCCTCAACGTGGGAACTAACAAAGTATTGGTTAATCATGAATTCATATTCATTACATGCTTTTGAATTAGCAATGCTAATGAAAAAATAGTCTCGAATGATCAAATTTAACACAGTGCACAATATTATACTAGTTGTTTATTGAAGCATATTGGTCACGCTTTCATTTGACAACATGCTTTTTGAATAGATTTATTGTTCAAACAAAAAGCGAAGAGTTTTTTAATCTATGTGTCTCAATTTAAATTGTCTATCGTTGTTTATAAAATTTGAACCAAATTATTTTCAACTCAACTTTTTTTAAAATTTAGTATGGAAATAGAAACTAAAATTTATATATTTGAAAAACTTTTGATATCTTAGGGAGTTTTTTTTGGAAAATTCACAACAATACTCTAACAAAGTTCCGATTTTACAAGAATACTCCAAAAATCAATTAATTATATCATCACTCCCAAAATTTCTTTCTTTTTTACAAAAACACTCCATCCACTACCTTACTTGCACAATTAAAATGTGTAATATCTAAATGGATTTTTAAAGTGATGATTTTAAAATGTGTAATATCTAAATTGAAGATTTGAAAAAAAATTACTTTTTTTTTTAATTTTCATAAAAAAATAAATCACTTATCTTGCTCCAACTCAAATATTAATCACGTCTTTTACAATTAGAGCATATCATTTTTGCTTGGAATTCTAAAAGTGAGTATTAGAAGAAACTGTTAGGAGTTGGAGAAAAAAAAGAATTAAAAAAAGTATGAAGTTAATTTTTCAAACCCAAAAGAACAAACTCTTAAAGTAGAAGGTTGACATTTGAGGAAGAATGAGTAATTTACTACTCATAATTTTGTATGAAAGCTGAAAAAAATGATTTATTTTCCAAGACATAAGTTTAAACATTAATGTAGATATTACACAATATGATTCTACAACTAAGATGACGAGTAAAATATTTTTGTAAAAATAGAGTAATTGTGAGAGTAGTGGAGTGATTAATTGATTTTCGAAGTATTCTTGTTAAATCGATTTTTTTTTGGAAAAATTGATATAAATACTCCCAGAAATTTGAAATTTCACAATAATACTTCCAAATTCAATAAAAGACTCTGGTACTCCCAATTAAACTATAAGTTTACATTACTACTCTCACTATCTCTAATCAGCTTTTCTTATGCTTATATTTAAGTAATTATGCTTAGTTGTTATCTTAGTTGTTGTTTTTTGTTTTAATAAGAGGAAAAATTATATAAATACTCATAGAAATTCAAAATTTTACAATAATTCTCCCAAAATCAAATAAAGACTCCAATTCTCCTAAAAGTATATTCTCGTTGCACGTTACTATATTTGACTGAAATTATTTTTAAAGTATTTTATATGAAAAATGGTGTGAAATTAAAAAATAAAAATTACATATTAAAAACTAATATAGTAATATGTAAAAATATTTTTTAGTAATATTAAAGANTTTTTTGTTTTAATAAGAGGAAAAATTATATAAATACTCATAGAAATTCAAAATTTTACAATAATTCTCCCAAAATCAAATAAAGACTCCAATTCTCCTAAAAGTATATTCTCGTTGCACGTTACTATATTTGACTGAAATTATTTTTAAAGTATTTTATATGAAAAATGGTGTGAAATTAAAAAATAAAAATTACATATTAAAAACTAATATAGTAATATGTAAAAATATTTTTTAGTAATATTAAAGATTAATTAATTGAGCTTAATTGGAATCTTAAGTAGTTTTTTATATTTTAATAAAAAATATCCCTTTGTCCAAAAATTATCTTCTCATTCACTATCAAGAGTATTAACAAGATCAAATTTTATTTACTTTGCTTATCTATATTAATTGTGTATTTTCTAAAATAATATAATTATATCATTACTAGTATTATAGATCTTATAATGTAGTTTTTAGATATATAATTTTATTTTTTGATTTCACACCACTTTTATTAACCATCATAACACGTAAAAGGAAGATATTTTTTAAAGTACTGGAATCTTTATTTGGTTTTGAGAGATTATTGTAAAATTTTGAATTTCAGAGAGTATTTATACAATTTTTTTCTCTTATTAAAACAAAAAGAACAACTAAGATGTCAACTAAGCATAATTACTTACATGTGAGCATAAGAAAAGCTGATTAGGAATAGTGGGAGTAGTAATGTAAACTTATAGTTTAATTGGGAGAACCAGAGTCTTTTATTAAATTTGGGAGTATTATTATAAAATTTCAAATTTCTAGAAGTATTTATATCAATTTTTCCATTTTTTTGGGTTTTTTTTCCTTTTTTTAATTTTTTTTATCAATTTTCAATTGAAAATAACATTTTAATCAAAATGGGAAATGCCAAAAGCCTAAGCCTGATACTTGTTCAACTCCTACTCGCCCGTCACCGGAGCAAAGCCCTCAGTCCCCTCGCAGAGCTCGAAGAAACCCTAGCAAGCCCGTCCAGAAATCCCCAACAGCGCGATCATGGCGACCAACACTCCGAACCTAGAGTGCCGGATGTACGAGGCCAAGTACCCGGAAGTCGACCAGGCGGTGATGATCCAGGTGAAAAGCATGGCCGACAGCGGCGCGTACGTTTCCCTCCTCGAGTACAACAACATCGAAGGCATGATTCTCTTCTCCGAGCTCTCCCGCCGCCGGATTCGGAGCATAAGCAGCTTAATTAGGGTGGGCAGAATCGAACCCGTCATGGTTCTTAGGGTTAACAAGGAGAAGGGGTACATCGATCTCAGCAAGCGCCGTGTCGCCGAGGAGGACATTCAGGCTTGTGAAGAGAGGTATAACAAGAGCAAGCTTGTACATTCCATCATGCGCCATGTTGCCGAAACCATGGAACTCGATCTCGAGGTAGACTTAGTCTTCTTTTGAATTTGGCACTAGCGATTTGGTGGCTGAGATGGAGGAATTGAGAATGAGCATGAGTTGGAAAAGTGAGCATTAAGTTGAGAATTTGTTCAGAAAAAATATGTCTTTGTATGACTGGGAAAGATGAGCATTAAGTTGTGTGGAATCAAATTCCATTGAGAAATTGTGCCATATGCTGCATTCCTATGTGTAAAACACATGCATTGTCAATAATCATTGACGTCTCATTGTCGTTCTGAGTTCTTATACAAGCAATTTTATAAGAGTTTATAGTTAACTGCTTCTACTTGCAATTGCAGGATCTTTACATCCATGTTGGTTGGCCTCTATATAGGAAATATGGTCATGCTTTTGAGGTGAGATTTAAGGGTTTAATACTCCGTTCAAATGCTTTATGATTTGGTTTAGTATATTCTAGTGATCGGTTTTATTTCCTGTAACATTTTTGAGTTGCACTTTATATAACTTTACTTGCACTCGATACATAGTATAATTTATGGTTCGCTTTCAGGCATTCAAGCTGATTGTCAATGATCCTGATTCAATTCTAAATTCCCTAACTCGTGAAGTTACAGAAGTTGGCCCTGATGGCAACACGGTAAAATTTTCTCTCTTGAATTTTGATGCTTGAATGTTTACACTATTTGTCCTTTTATGGAAAATGTGATTTCATATTATCTAATTGCTTTAGATAACAAGGGTGGTTCCTGCACTATCAGAGGAAGTTAAAAATTCTTTGGTACAAAATATTAGGAGAAGAATGACTCCACAGCCACTGAAGATCCGGGCTGATGTTGAGATGAAGTGTTTTCAGTTTGATGGTGTTCTTCACATAAAGGTTTTGTACTTGTTCATTCTCATTGCATTGGGATTAATTTTTTATTAACCACATCTACTTGGTTTATAAAAGTAGCAATATCGCTTGTTGAGCTTTGGTGTGTGAACAGTTAGGTAGACCTATTGAACCGAGTCCAAATCAAATATTCTGTTTGTTCCAAATGTCGAATCAAATTTTTGGTTTGGTAATCAGTATATGAGTTCCCATTTTTTTTGGTATTAGGTAATCAAATTTTTTTTGGTATACATCTTTTTTATTCATTATGTACGGAATGTCGACACAGAAAAATACCCACACGTAATATTTCCGCCCTAAAACAAGGTTTCTCTATTCTTTTATGGAAAAATTGTGTGGTTATCATTACCCTTCTTAATAATTATGTTGGGCCAAATCCAACATTTTATTTTAAGACAAAGGTTGTGTCTGTGTGTTGACATTTATTTGTATATAATAATTTTCATATATATTTATAATTTTTTAAATAAAAAATATGGAGTATTTCTCATATTCGGATTCTCATATTTGGATGGTATGTAGAAACCAAATAGTGTGCCGAATTAGTTTAGGTATTTACTAAACTGAACCTTCAGAACATTTCATGATTTGTATGATTGGTCTTGCCATATCAATTCAGTAATGGACATGCCAAAATAAAATATCTCAGCCCATGTCTCGTGTTACTATCCAACATATGATGAAGAGTTGATGACAACTTCAGAAGTTTCATATCTTTTTTTCTTTTATGTAGGTTACGAAGGACATCCTACGTGAATTTTTTATATTGCATGAAATTTTAGTGTCATTTAATTTGCATAATAAATTTAAAACCATCGATCCCAACTAGTTGGGATAAAGGTGTTGATAATGATGATGCTTGAACTGAACCAAACCAGTTTGGTTCGGCAATCAATTGCAAAATGAGCTTGCCAAAATTTTGGTGCCTTGGAATAATTACGGAATGACACCCCCTAGTTGAGCTTACCTATGTTTAGCAATACTTGTTTTCATTTTGAACAATACAGGAAGCTATGCGTAAAGCTGAAGCTGTTGGTAACAAAGATTGCCCTGTTAAAATTAAACTTGTTGCCCCCCCAGCATATGTTCTCAATACACAGACTCTTGACAAGGTATTTTATTTCATTCACATGCAGCATTGTTTAGTATCCTGGATTTATTACTTGAATGTAAATCTCTGTATTTTGTAAGATAAAAAGGAAACATATAATGAGTGGAACTTGGCAGTTTTTTCAGAACATGAAATAGATACAAGCTTACTCCGTTTTTTTAATTATATGCATACACACACACACTCACACTCATAGAAAATATCTTTTATGGAGTACATGCTAAACCATTCCCATCTCTACTAGGCTCTGTTTAATTATAACAAGCCGAAGTAAATTTTCTTAAGCCATTTTATGTAGAGGTTTTATGATCTCCATTATTTGGTGTTATCTAAATTGTTGTCTGTTAGCGGAGAAGCATATCATTTAGTTCATCAATCTTCATGTTGAAGGGATAATTCATTATCTCCTAATTTATTTCCAATGACCTAATACATTTTTTTTCCTTGGAGAGGTGAAAAGTTGTTGTCTTTTGGTGGATAAGCATATCATTTACTCCATCTGCCTGCATGTGAAGGGAAAATTCATTATCTCATAATGCATACAATTTTTCTCCATGGAGAGCGGTGAAATGAAGAGCACATTAGAACAAAAAAATAACCGTGTTTATACATGCAATTTTAATTCTATTTATGAAAAGTGATGATACTTTGGTGTTTATATAATTTATTCCGTTATAACCCCAAAGCAAACTAGGCATCGGACTTCTTGTTTAGTGGGACGTGGGTTCTCAGTTCTCACCAACCTTACAGTGAAATGTGAAATCTTTATTTATTTGATAATTTTTTCTACATTTTTTCCCAGTAGGAACCAATGATTCTTACCCTCTATATTCCCTTGTGTCAAGTGTGTTATATCTAGACCTAGCCTTTGCATGATTGATGTGTGTTTTCTGTATCCGGATTCAGGAGCAAGGCATATCTATCCTTCATAATGCGATTGCAGCTTGCCGAGAGGAAATACAACGTCACAAAGGAAATCTCACCGTGAAGGAGGAGCCTAGAGTGGTGAGTTGCAGTGTTTTTCTTGACACTGTTGATAGTCCTTTCATCTTAATACTTGTTTTAATGTATTCGACCTCCATTGTCTAAAACCTTAGTAACTGTTGGGCAAGGCTGAAGATGGTTTATCTGATGAAATTATGGCTGAAATGACACGAATCTATTGAATTTTCAAAACAATATTTAAAAAAATACTCCTTATTTTTCAACAGAATATGGTAATATACTCCTATGGTAAAGAAGAGTCATTTTCCTCGTCTTTTTTAAGTTAAAAATGTCTTTTACAGTAAATTCATGTTTGAAGTAAAACCAAACTGGAAGGTCGTTAAGTACGTTGCTCAAACAATCATGAAAGATAGTTGTAGGGGATTTGTAACATGTAAAGGTTTGCCTTGATTGTATTTTCTACTAATAAAAAGTTGTTTCGGACTTAAACAGGACTTGTTTTGGGACTGAGGGAGTAATGACATCTAAAAATGACATCTTTCTAAGTCATTACATCCTTAAAAACTAACTCCTCATCACCTTAAAATTATCAGCCAATTGGAATTGAGCGGTGACACAAAACTTGCTGATAACTTGACTCAGTCAGCTTATGTAGTGGAAGAAGTTTGTTTTTTATGACACAAAAAGTCTGCTGATTTAGCTAAATGTAGTGGACCTAGTTGGCTTTTGAGAAATCTGATGGAAAAATAGTACGGAGTACTCCGTATTACTCAAATAATCAGGATACAAAAAGGTATATATAGGAACCGGATCTGGTAAGTAGTAACTACGAAGTTACCAAATGAGATAAACAAAATAATACACCCTTTGTTGTCTGTCCTGCTATTTTTGTCCCTTTTTACCTTTTTGTCTGTCCTCTTAGTTTTGTCTATTAATTTCTTTCACACTTTCCTTTTTGGACCTCTAAAAATTTCTTTCCCGTTTCTTATTTTGGCAACAAATCTTTAATGAATGTGCCATTATACCCCTATTTTTTGTCTACACTATTTACTTTATCTCATTATATTAAGGACAAATATGGAAAGTCTTTACATATTTTATGGAAAGTCATTGTCCCAAAATTAGTAGGACGGAAACGTTAGAAACTGATTACTCCGGGTATAATACAAAGCCCGCCTTAAATAAGTAAATTGTTACAAAGTATTACCACTACTACTACTATGCCTAACTGAAACAGAACCGCTGAAAGTCCGAAAGCAAAGCTTATGGGATTGAAATAACTGAGTTAATTTGTTAATAATATCTTAGTATTCTATGTCTAATTTACGTTTTATCGAATAGGATAGATATGTAATACCTATTGTGATTGCAGGTGAGTGAAAAAGAGGAAAGACTCCTTGCTGAAGAGTTTAAAAAGCTGGGCCAGGAGAATGATGAGGTCAGCGGTGACGAAGACAGCGAAGAGGAAGAGGATACAGGGATGGGAGAGCTTGATTTAGAAAACTCTGTGCACGTCATAACAGACTGAAGAAGTTGGGGGAGTAATGTACAATTTTGAGTTTTATCAGGCCTTAACGACAATGCAGTTTTCCTGCCAAAGGAGACTCCATTCTAGAGCTCTTGTTTTTGGGCAACATCCAATGTGATTTATTGTTGTGTTTTGATCATTTTTTTGTCATGTGTTTCTTCGTACCATTGTTAACGGTATACCGTGTGCTAAATATGAGAATTCTTTATATCATAAGAACACTTTTTATGTTACTGATATGCAAACATTTCTGTGCAAATTTACCCAATCTATGATACTTTTGAGTGCATAAGTTTTATTGAAATTAGGAGTACATTTTTACATATCACTTCAGGTTCAATGGGATTCAGGAAAGTGTGAGCCTGAAATATGTGACTATAGGAGTAGAGCTCAAAAGATGGTCAAACTCATGTTTAGTTATAGGAAAACTTAGAAATTTGTTTTTTTAAAATAAAATATAATACTTCGTAATTAAATTATTAAATTGACAAGATTGGATATTTGATTCTAATATCCAATTAATTTTTCAGATACTCTTGAATATTTGACATTTTGATATAGTTTTCCACGTTATTAATTCAAATGACAAATCATCTACAAATGACACCTTTGATAGAGATTGTATTCTTATAATATGTGGACTCTCCATTATTAGTTATTGAGAACTCATGTCAAACATGATCATGATAGCATGATTGTCAAAAATTGAATACGATTTCATCTTTAAGTAAATAGTGGGTGTATTTAGAGCGAGTTACACCCGGCGGTGAGTACTCATTTTTAACATTTTTAAAACAATAGAATGTTTAAAGGATTGATTTGGAAGCAACTGGATGTTCATTCTGCAAAAGGCTTCCACCTACGTCATGTCGGAAAGCCAATGACCGTCACCAACCACCACCCAACCTGGCACCACCACCTCCACCCAGCTTCACCGCACCTAGATTCTACCGCACTAGGGTTTGGATTTGTCAATCGCGACTCTCTTTTCTTCCATGTAGCTCATCTTCTTCTTCCTTCGTCATTTTAGTAGCTAGATGTATCCATTTTTTAGTACATTTGGATGTATAATATAATTCAGAGGGGACATTCTTTAATTTGTGTGGAGTCACAATTATTGACAAAAAAAAGAACCCAAAGCTAGGGTTTTGACACAACCTTTCATTTGAAATCAACTCAACTCAATGTGGTACTTGTCTCCTTTTTAAGTTCGTACTACCTTTACAAATAAAATTTGTGATTTGGATTTAAATTATGATTCTCCTTCGTGCCAGATATAAATCTAACATTTTTTAAATTTAGTTTTTTAAATGAAGCATATAAAATTTAACCAAATATGCATTAAAAAATAAATTTAGTAAACTCATCAAACATTTCAACGAACATTTTGATGAGGTACAAACCGTACAAATTACTTTTTTACATCACAAAATGTTTAAAATGAAAAATATTTTATATTATCAAACATCACTACAATTTGTAGAGAGAAAAAAAAAAAGAATAATGCCACGCGGGCCTTATATGAGTGTTGGGTTTGGAATGGACAACAATTATTTGAATCCAAGTGGGCCTTTCATCACTCTTTTATTTACTCCACTCACATTTCCTACTCAATGAAATGACATTTTTTTAAATCCTTGACATATCTATATTATGAGACAATAATACTCAGCATTGCGTTTTAAAAATATTATTAAATAATTAATTCTGTTTAATATTTACGCTTAGTAAGTGAATTTAAACAATTAAAAGATTATATATTCAAAATATTGATACTGATTAAAAACATTTAAAATAAGGTCTTAATTTCGGTATGTATGCAGAGATTTGGATATAAGTACAGTTTACAATTCAATTTATGGTTAATTTGAAAAAAAAGATGTGCCCCATCCCCAAGGCCCCTCAGACCCGACTGCACGGTCACTGAAAGAAGATAAATTAGACTTTAATCGTAAATGGTTATAAAGAGTGAAGTCTGTACCTGGAAGGTGTGAGAGATTGGGGTGTATTCTTTTTTTTTTTTGAAATGACAATTTTTGGGTTTATTTTGAAATTTTCTCAATAATTTTCCAAGTTGTTTAATCATTGGTTTCAGTGCTTACACATTTTTGTACTGTGTGTGAAATCCTAGCATTCATGAATCATGATTGATGTCTCGAAGAGGTTTTGCAGGTGGAAGAGAATCCTATCACACGTTCACACCACCTATATACTCATCCATTAGAGCCGGGTTCCATGGCCACTGGTTTCCAGTGGCCACCGAAGACACTGTCTCCCTACAAAGCTCCGTTCATAAAATTGATGATTCCTACCCCCTCTAACCCCCCCATAAACTCCCCTCCCTCCGCCAAGTCTCGACTCAAACTAATCACCTCACCTACGTCAATTGCATCTCGTAAGTATAAAGTCAAAACTTTTGACTTTAAAGTCAATTATACTTACGAGGTGTAGCCTTCAAAAAAAATACTTACGAAGTGCAATTGACGTAGGTGGGTGATTAGTTTGGGTCGGGACTTGGCGGGGGTTTACCGGGGGGATTAGAGGGAGTAGGAATCATCAATTTTATGAACGGAGCTCCGTAGGGGGGCAGTGGCTTCCGTGGCCACTGGAATTCAGTGGCCATGGAACCGGGCTCCATTAATAAATACGTATAAAACTTCATTTATTTTAAATAGATTTTATTTACAAATAAGAATAAAAATAAAAGGTACCCCTCCATCTCAAAACCATATATCTTCTCGTACATTATTTATTGGATCAAACTTTTAATTCACTATGTTAGCCCATTTTCGTTACTTATTTAATAAAAATATAGTCATGTCATATCTAGTTTCATAAGTATTTTGATATGCTTTTAAAGATATAATTTTTTTTTGTTAAATTCCACATCAGTTTTATAATAAGTTGACTTGAAAAAATTCAGTCAAATATTGTAAAACATAACGGGAACGGGAAGGTAATTTTAGGACGATGGAGTATAACTTACATATTCTATAAAAAATAATGACATGTCTATTTTATATTATTAAATTATCAATAAAAAATACTTATACAAATTAAAGTTATTAAAAGTTTTAACTTTCAAAAAAAAAAGTTTAAAGTACTCCTAGTAAGTACGGAGCAGGACGATAATTTTATGACGCAAGGATAATCTGAAAATAAATTGTAATTGACATGCATTTGTCATTGCATCAAATATCTTCTTTTCATTTTTTTCATTTTCTTGTACCGGAAACTAGTCATCGTCGTTGATAAATCGATTCTTATTGTGATTGTCAAGAGTCGAATTTAGACAATGAATCTCATATTTAATGACCATCTAAACTATGCGCCATGATAATATATATTTTTATCCAAATTTGCTACTACGACCAGCCGTATATGAAATATGGAGTATACATGTGATAGCTTAGCCAAGGGTTATTTAAGTAGTTTACATGTAATGGAGTTAATTATCACATTTTGATTTTTTGGAGTTTTAAAAAAACGTTATAAAGTAAATAAAATAGTGGTTAGAGTTTGTTTAGAAAAAAAATGTAACAATTAGAAGGAAGACAAATGAGATTGTGAAATTCGTTTAGAACAAAAAAATTGGCAATTTCTTAAATTTGTTAGAAAAATAAATTAAAGAAGTGTAAGATTTTTTTTAAAAAATAAAACATAAAAGAAAAGTATGTAAGATAATTAATTCGGATGGGAAGAAACTTTTTTGAGCATGTAGGGCTTGTGGGAATTTTGCCCCACCAGATAATCTTTGTTTGATTTTATTTTTTATTTCATAAAATAATATAGTGTTCTTACATAATTAGTTCTTTATAACAGGTGGATTTCCATATTTAGTACCCTATTATCGAATATTACCTCCGTAGTTTTTCTTTTATGAGTGTCTACAAATGGTCCTTTTTTTATCTTTTGTCATGCTGATATTAATTTCAATAGAATTCACCTAAGTAGGATCAAAACATAGAGAAAAATATCAAAATAGGACTTTCATGTTTTTTCGAAATAAAACTTTGCACTGTGGTAATGTGGCACTATACATGTACACATTACTATACTTTTTTGGTAATGTACATGACCATGTTTGGTAATGTAAGTCTTATTTTGGGAATAAAAAACATGGCAGTCCAATTTTTGCATATTTTCAATGTTTTAGACCTATTTTGGTCTTTCTCCTTAATTTCAAAGCTAAAACTATAATTTGACATAAACCTTATGTCTACTAACGTATTCTGATATTAGTTAGACTGATAATACAAAAATAATGACTATGATTGTGAGTAAGGATTCCGAAAAAGACCAAATTTGTAGGCTATGGTTGTAGTAGAAAACGATGTAGTTCACAAATGACGCATTAGGAGCGACCTTAGGATTGTATATAACAAGAAAGATACTCACTTCGTTCTCAAAAACACTTTCTCTTTCATTTTTTCCACTTCCAACATAACACTTCTCCTTTCTATTAAAAAACCACTTTTACCCTTACTTTTTCCTACCCTACCTATCACATCATATTTTTTCTCTAATAATCTATCCATCACATCTTACTTTTACCCATCACATCAAGGGCAAAATTGAAAATCAACGTATAATTTAACACTTCCTTATTTTTGCCCCCAAATCAAATGGGAAGGATTTTTCCAAACGGAGGGAGTATATTATATTTGAAAAATTACACTTTTAGCACTCAAATTAACACCAATATGATAGAAGATAAAAAAGAGCTATTTATAGAAAGATAAAGAACACTCGACCAATTATGAAATTTACTTTTTTTAAATATATAGAGTAAAGTTTAAAAAAACAACAACAAAAACAACAACAACAATAATAATAATAAAAGAGAGAATAATTTTTTATTTTGTACCTAAATTTTCATAAAAGTGAATTGAAGGGTACATACGCCTAATTGCCTATCATAAAACAAGTGATTTAATTTATTACATAATGTAATGCATGCTTTTAATTAATGATAATTAAACATTAAATGGCGAGATGATGGGCAAATCTTGGTAGACCCTCTCATATCAGCATGATCATGATGTTTCTTTTATCTGTTTGCCTCTATCATATTGGACTCATACATATTAGATTTAAGTGATTCATCTCATCACACACTTAATTTTCTTATAATAAAAAAAGGAAGTAGAATTCAATTTTATTAGGATTAAATAGGTTTATGTAATTAAAAATCCATATCATCCTAAAGTGCTCCTTGGATGGAAGGAGTGCAAGAAAAATGGCTTTCTTGTAAACTCTTTTATTCTAAGGTTATGTTCTCTTGGTTATATAAACATAGTTAAATGTTTACAAAATTTAAATGAGTTTTAAAAAAAATTAAAAAAATTGAAACCATTTAGAAAGCGGCCCGGTTTCATGGCTACTGACTTTGAGTGGCCACGTAGGACATTGTCCCAATGAAAACGTTTACAGTGCTCCGATCGCAAAATTAATTATTTCCATCCTTTCTAACACCCATACCACTCAGTCTAGACCTGAGCTCATCTTCTCACATACGTCAATTGAGTGGTACAAGTTTTAGTTGATTTTGGGGTCATTTTTTTATACCCAAAGTCAACTAAACTTGCACCCCGCAATTAACGTGGGCGGGAGGATGAGTTGGGATCGAGACTGAGAGGGGAAAAAAGGGTTCAACATGGGAGGTTATGAGAAGCAGAAACAATCAATTTTACAAACGAAACACCGTAGAAGTACAATGTCCTCCGTGTCCACTCAAAATGAATGATCACATAACCGGTGTAGGTGTTTAGAAAGAGTTGATGAATAAAAATAAATGAAGATGTTAGAAGAAGCATTAATTTAATAAACATCAAGAAATATGAAATGATTAACAAAACATAGAAGCTAATAATTAAAGAGAGTTTAAATGACATTTTTTTTAAAAAAAAAAAAATAGGGAGTACAATTTTAGTAAATTTTGAAGTATTAACTTTATGAGTTTAGGGATAAAATGGTCAGTACAATCCATTGGGTGACAAATATACATGTCCCAAAAAGTGTTCTCTTAAAATTCTTTAAAGCTAAATCTTGTGAGAATACAACCATAACCGCAAATCTACTAAAAACCTCTCCTGGGGGCTAGAAGCTAAGCTAGCTAAGTACACACAGAGTAGTACATCACATTGACTTTCAATTTTCAGCAATTACGTACTTAAATACAAATAATTAGTTCACCGTATAAAAGAGGAGAAATTTACTTAAATAAGATTAAAACATAATGACTTTTTCAATATACGACCATATGTTTTTATTTCTCAATGTAGAACCTTTGGTCATTATCAAGTAGTCATTATTCAAGTAAATGTCTATTACTACTGGACATTATTTCTTGCACTAGGTCATTATTAAGTCTTATTTAGGGAATAAAAAAGTTTAAATCTTACATTAGGAAAGTCATTATGTTTTAGTCCTATTTAGTGCAAATTTCACATAAAAGAGTTGTAGGCTTTAACATCATTTGCAAACACACCCATGTAAAAAAAAATCACCAATAAGAATTGATTGTAAAATTTATTCACACAAAATGTAATTGTCTTTGAAAACCAAAAGTTTTAAATTTCAAACTCATATAGGGATTATAACACTAACTAAAACATAATTCTAGTTTCACATGGGGTGTTTATAATTGGGGCAATGCTAGGGGTACACCAACATGGGGTACCCCAAGTGTACACCAAACCAACACAGACACAAAATGTCTGTGCAACACAGACACTTTGTGTCTGTGTGTGTCTGTGTTGGCTTTGGTGTACCCCTAGCTTAATTCTTATAATTGAGAGTCAATTTCGTTAACACTCGCATTAGTTGATACTATGACGTCACTATATTTTTAGGACATACCCCTGGTAGACTCTAATTTCCACCCGAGATTGACGTGATCCCCCCTGCCCTTCTAACCCTTCAATTTCATCCATAAATTTTACTCTATGTGTCTCCGATCCGTATAAAATTCGGAGTTATTATTCGAGGGCCACAATAATTTCTAACTTCTACTCTCTTCATCATATTAAATTTTTTTACATTTTCCTTTTCTAAATATTCCAAAAAAAATCTTACACTTGGTTTAATTTATTCCCTATAGCTATTTCGATATTAATGAATATAATATATGGTTATTAACTATTTTAAACAAATTATAATAATACACATTTTACTTTGCAACACCTTTATTTTTGGTATTTGATAAAATAAAATAATCATATCATGCTTTAATAAAAGGTAAATTCTCCGTATATGCTACACGTCCATTAAATTTCTTTTCATTAGAACTTTTAGGATCTCTAGTCCAATACTTTAGCCATTAATATCTCTTTTGATACATAAGTATATACTACGGGGTATTATAAAAGTTAATTCCCTGTCGCTGACTATTTGCCCACTTTTGATGTTTTTTGATAAAAATTGGTAAAATTTGACCTCAATTTAAATGAAAATGACATTAGATATTGATACAAAAATAATTTTATTAGATTTATTATATGAAATGTTTTAAAAATATTATTTTATCTAATTAATATACTCCCTTGGTCCCAAAAAAAGACTCCTTATTTTCTTTTTGGGATGTCCCAAAAAAACTTAATCTTTCCTTTTATGGAAAAGTTTGAGTCGCTCACAAACTTTCTCTTTCCTCTGTAACATTTTTAATCGTATATTTTCACATTCAAAATCAATTTTGGAGAAAACAAAAAAACGGAGAAAAAAACGAAAGAAGAAATGATTTTAAAAAATAGAGATAGTATATTATAAAAGTTAAAATATTTCGATGGTATGTTTCAAAATGAATTTTTTGATAATAAACTTATTTGATCATTGAAACTATTTTTTTTCCCTAAATTTATGATAACAAATTAAAAAGCTTGAACAGATCAGAAAACTGAAATTGGGAAAGAAAATTTGTGGACCAAGGGGAGAGTGAGTACTAGGTACTGTAACTATTAATGGGGGCAGAAAAACGCGGAGAAGCATTATTTGGTTAGCCTTCTGTATTCAAAGCTGCAATAATAATAATAATAATAATAATAATAATAATAATAATAATAATAATAATAATGAACAACAACAAGCAGCTGACGAGCCATTATAACAGAGTGCAGCAGGGCGGCGGAGGAGGGCGTTCGAGCTCCTCCTGCGCCGCCTGCAAGCTGCTGAAGAGGAAGTGCTACGCCAACTGCCAGTTCGCGCCCTACTTCCGCCCCGACGGCGACCCCAAGAGGTTCGCCAAGGTGCACAAGGTGTTCGGCGCCAGCAACGTCGCCAAGATCCTGAGCGAGGTCCCGGAGGAGCGCCGCGAGGACGCCGCCAACTCCCTCGTCTACGAGGCCGAGGTCCGCCTCACCGACCCCGTCTACGGCTGCATTGGCGCCATCGCCTCCCTCCAGCGCCGCATGGCCCAGCTCCAGTCCGACCTCTTCCTCGCCAGAGCCCGCCTCGCTTCCTATTCTTCCTCCTCCTCCGCCGCCGCACCGGCCGCTTGCTGCTCGTCCTCTTCCGATTCCTCCTTCTTCTTCCACCCTCCTCCTACCCCTCAGGCCGTCGCCACCAACGCCGATTTCCCGAAGTCCTTCTCCGGCGAGTTCCCGCCGCCCGGTGAGTTCTACGACCAATTGTCTCTCGTCGCCGATGACAGTCCTCAGTTTGGACAATACCCTTTCATCCCTTGGCATTAATTAAGCTGTAAATTAAATCATGCTTATTTGCTTTCTTAATTATTACTCCCTAATCATGATTGTGTATATAATTCTTCTTTACATATTACTCCGTACTTCATTAATCCTTATAGAGTTCCAAGTATAAATGAAGAAGAGTCATGAGTACTCACATTAATACATTAATTTTGATATTAAAATTTAGAGTGGATTTCCAAAACGTAATTAAGTGTTTTTCAAATTAGTCTTCAATATATAATAATTACGTGCATGATTCTTTACAATTTAGATTTATTCTCTTAATGATCTTCTACTAAAAGAATTGTTTTGAGGACTTATTTATAGTTTAGACGTTGAAAAATACACAAATATCTTCCTTTCAAATGTCAAATAATAGACATTTTTACAACAGTGGGGTTTTAGTGACACTAGAAAACGGTGCCACTAGCGGTGCTACGGCGTTTTTGGGGAACCTCCGGTGCTCCGTTCGTAAAATTGACGGTTCCCACCCCTCCTAACCCATCCCCTAAACCCCCCACCCATGCACCCCACCCAACCCCGCCGTAAGCCCCCCACAAAATGTGTGGATATTATGCAATGCGTAATAGTCACACATTTTGTGGGGGTTTATGACAGAGTTGGAGTGGGGGTAGGGTGGGGGGTTTAGGGGGTGGGTTAGAGGGGGTAGGAATCGTCAATTTTACGAACGGAGCACCAGAGGTGCCCAAAAACATAGTGGCGCCGTAGTGGCACCGTTCTCTGGTGTCACTAGAACCGGACCGTTTTTACAAAAGACTATTTAGGGAATACATATAATCTCTATTACAAAGAATCACGTTAGTGATTATTTCCTATTGAGATTTATTTTGGAATAATATTTTGTTAGAAAGAACCATTTTGGAAATTTACTCTATTGTGTTTTATAGACCTATGTTGCAATACATGTTTTTGTCTACCATCTTCAATGTATATTAACTCTATTGTCTATTTTAATTATTTCCATACATAGAATGAATGAATATAGACATACATTATATCTTCATTCATTCATACATTAATTTTTCTCATATCTCTCATACTCCCTCTGCCTCTCTGTATTTGCCCACATTTGACTTTTAGAACTGTTCATCTAAGCACTTTGACTCATCAAATTCTCTCAATGTGTAAGCCTAAATATAGTCATGTGTGATCTTGTTTGATTTTTTTCTTAACATATAGATTATTAATATATAATTTTTTAATATACAAATTACAAGATAAAATTAATTAAAGAAGTGCATTGGATGGTGTGTAAAAATAAAAGTGGACAAATACATGGGAAGGGAGGGAGTCAAAATGGAGTATATGATCCATGTCAAACTTTGACATAAACTCTCCAAATTAAAATCGATTTGCCCAAGTAGTATGAATAATCTCAAACCCCTCTTATCCCAAACTTAGGGGCGGTTTGTTTCAGCCTCTTAATGGTTCAGATGTCTGAATGATTCAGCACTTAATGGTTCAGACTGTTTGTTTCAGCCTCTTAATGGTTCAGATGTCTGAATGGTTAAGAGATTTGCCTCTGAATGGTTAAGTATTATACAGAGTCTGAATGATTAAGAGCTCTTATCTGAATTGATCAGACATTTGCCTCTGAATAGTTAAACAATATACTAGCTCTTAATGGTTCAGACCTCTTACTGGTTCAGCACTTAATGGTTCAGACCTCTTACTGGCTCAGCACTTACCCATTCAGAAGTTACCAAACAGTCCCTTAGTGAATGAAATGAAAGTTTCCTAGGATTCCCACAAAAGCCCAAGTTTTAATTTGTACTATCAGATGAGATGATGATGTATGGCTGAGATTGTCCACATCGTCACATATGGGTGTTCCGTCCGTACAAATATATATATATATATATATATATATATATATATATAGAGAGAGAGAGAGAGAGAGAGAGAGAGGTGTCAGAATAATAAGAGGTGTCTCATCTTCTCAAATACCCAATCAAACAGTCCCTTTTTATAGACATTCAAAAATTTGCAAAATCATAACTCTCCACTTGTACACATTAATAAAATAGAGATTTCGTTTTCTACATGGTTTAGCCCCTCAATTAATAGCTCTGAAAGCAAAAAAAAGGATGAACCCCATCCTCGAGGGCTTCCTCAGATCCGGTCAGACGGTCAGTGAGAGGAATTAATGACTTTCAAAGCATCTTTATAAAGTGTGTACAAAAAAATACCCCCATTTGCATGGGACTCGCAGTCCTTTGTATTTAATAACCAATTTTATGACCCTTATTTTAGATCCAAATAGTATATTTTTCTACATATATTCTACAAAAGGCCGATTATGAAGCATTTTTCAAACGTAAAGCATCACATACATAATTTCTTAAAACTGAGGATTATAGATGAAAAATATTTTATTATAAATGACTATTTATAAAATTCACTGAAAATTACTTATGTTAAATGTCTATTGTATTCCATGATGATAGAAAACAAAGAAACTCTCCACTTTCTACTTTAGACAACTCTTAGAATTGTGTCTAGACCGATTTTATATTTCTCGAAAAAATTTTGAAACCCAACCTCCTAGGTCCGCTTATCCTTGGAACGTGCAAAACTCCCTTGCGAACATGATAATTCTTTATCACCATTTTCAAGAGTCGAACCCAAATTTATGACCTTCAACACTCATCTTTCAATCACCCGAGTTACGTCCTCCGTACCCAATTTTATATATCTCGTTTTTTAATGAAAAAGGGTTACCTCTTCATAAACACCTATAAGCTATTTGTCATTTCTACTAAGGTTTAAGTAAAGCTTTACTTACACATTCACAACCCCACATATCAGCTTTCTGCCTAGGAAAAAAGAAGAAAAAAAAACTGCAGAGTACTGCTCATTCCTCCCTTCCTCTCACCATTAACAAAATTTAGAGCAATGATAATGGAAGTAAATTCATCACCATATCCCTACACACTAGAAGGAAAAAAAACTCTGCTGCAATATTAAAGTTACACTTTCCTTATTTGACATCTCATTATTAAAATTTCATTTTCATTTTTGGCATATCTAAAGCATTAAAAATGCTCAAATGCACCAAAGCAATACTCTTTTTCTAACCACCCAGTCTTTGCCACCATCATTTTTTTGCCATTTAGGAGCTAAATGAAAAAGACAATGAACTTATTTTTTTTAACTTTAAAATATGTAGATTCAAAATGAGACTTTTATAATCGCAATCAGTTGGTATGGGGTGAGACTTTAACAATGGTATAGAGGAAGTACTCTAGTAAGTACTCTGTAATGTAATAGAAAAAGGATGATTCTTTAATAGAAAAAGTACCCTAGGGCCTTTCCAAACTTGACGGTCACTGAGAGAAAGTAAATTGAACTTTAATCGTTGATTGGTGGCAAAAATTGCACTTGGCACTTGTAGAGGCTTTATGCTTAGAATAGTTAACTTTGTAATGTAATAGAGATATGATGGTAAATTTATATCCCCTATCATTTTTTTGCAGTCTTAATCCTGAGAATAACAGTTTACATTACGGTACACATTTACAACTCAAGATGTTAAATAAACGGGGTTCTTGAATACTGGCAAAACGACATTGAATAGACCAATCACATGACAGCAATGAATTACCTTAAACTGTACTGGTCTAAAAGTACTTGAGAGACGTTGCATTGATTTTTCAGCACAGCATACAATTTACACAATCCACTAAATGATATCAATCATTTCAGTGGGTGGCACACACCCCCACTTAATGCTCAACTTGCCTTGGCCACAGCTTCATCCCCTGTGGATGGAAATGGAAATGCATACCACATTCAGTGAAGTGAAAGCAATAGATTTGGCAACAATAATCAAAGGCCAAATATGGTAAATCAATTGTCATTCACCATTACTGGCAATTCCAACTCTCAATCATTAATTAATGCACTCAAATTGAACACAAAGGCCAAATGTGGTTTAGGAAGGGAGGAGGTGAAAACCGGGAAAGTAACCAAAGTACAACCTGTGACATCATCAGTGACACATCACAGTTGCTGACATGGCCAATTGACAAATCAGCATTTGAAATTTTGCTGTGCAAAATAATATAATCCACCCTATAACGTTTCCTCTGTTTATGATGACAGATGGTTTTGCCCAAGAGAAGCCCAAAACCCTCTATACAATACAAAAAAAACTTGAAGAAGAAAAAAAAGAAGCATAGGGGCACCGGTTGAGGCATTGCCGTCGTGACCTATAGAGGTCACAACTTCATGGTATGGTTTGCTTACATTACACACTTAGGGTGGGACCTTCGCTCAGCGGAAATGCATTGTGCACGAGGTTGTCCTTTTTTTAACTTGCAGCTGATCAATCTAATATAAGGATCATAAATGGGGTCCTTTTCTTTTCTTGGCAAGTATCTCTGGAACAATGATGCAGCCAAAAGTAGTCCATTTTCTAAACAAATACTACATTGTGTTACCACCTTTGTTCAAATGGAACTTATTCATGACTTTCAATGCCCATAGTTATTTAAGGCGTGATGAGCACCGATGCACTAAAGGGCTCTAGCGCCTCGATGCGCGATGCGCACTTGATGCGCGCGCATCACGAACACAATGCGCAAATTGGATATTAGTAGATATGTAAATGAAGTTTTAGAAATCAATCAAGAACTTTTAATCATAGTATATATAGAACTTTTAAAAGCATAATGAAGTTTTAGAAATCAATCAAGAATGAAAGTCACACATCGTACCAAAGAGGCATAGACAAAATTAAAAACCATAAAGTTCAAAAAGCAGAATTAAAATGTGAAAACAATATCTGCTAGAAAAAAAATATCTGAAGAAAAAATATGTATTGTACATCAAAAAATAGTTTGAAAAAAATTGAGAACCAATGTACATCTAAGAAAAAACCAGTGTAGAAAATACAAGTTCTTTAATCAGAAAAGAATTACCGTAATAGGTGGGAGGAAGAGAGTCGTAACTGGTTGTGACTTGCGACTGGGGTACTGTGTTACTGACTTACTGTCCACGGTGAACTCTAGTGTTATCCATGGTGAGAGGAAGAGAGTCAAAGCAGAGAAAAAACGAGGAAGGAGATCGTCAAAGGACTGAAGGAGGAAGAGACTTGTGGTTTGAACTTCTTTTGGTCGTAGACCAACGTGAAGATAATAAAGGGTGAGGCGGAATAAATATTAACACTAATCCCTTAACCTAACCTTTAAAAAACATAAATTAATGTATGTTCCTGATGCGCGCCTTTTATCGCATCACATAACGGCGCATAATACGAGGAGGCGCAGTAAGGCGTGCACATCACGAACAGCGCGCGCATCAAGTCTGCTGATGCACTAACCCTAGCGCATCGCGCGCATCGCACTTTTCACAACTATGTCAATGCCTAAAAAAATGTATTTATTCTTTTCGTGTGTAACACACTTCCTTTCCTATTACAGCTAGGACAATCTCATTATCTCCACATTCATGGTAAATTGGTAATATTACATAGACCTAATCACCTATACCTGCTTGAGATTGGACTTGGCAGTCTTAAACCTCTCTCTACAATGAAAGGAATTCATGGAGATCCCATATTATGGTTCCTGAGTCCTATGGCTGTGTATGATTGCTGTTGATGGCAATATTTGTTTTCACTCCTCACGTTACATGTCACTCTTTGTCTGTGGGGATCCTCTCAAAGAGAGTTTCTCTACTCTAGGAGTAGTGGTTCCCAAGACCCTACCCTTGAGATATAGTGTGCTTGTTTGATTTGGTTTGGTTATGTCTTTATGAGAGGGGGAGGAAGGGCATGTACAATATCAATTTGGTACAAGGCTGTTGTTCCCATAACCACCATAAAAATACTCTGTACGTTTTAATTACATGGATGGATACACCAAGAATTTAATACATAAACATTTATTGGGCTTTCAACTGCAACTTGTAAAAGACATTGGGTTTCAAATTTCAATCACAACGCTTAACCAAGAGTGATGAAGTATTACGGCATGATGCTTACCTCACATCTCTAATCTCATATGAACTAGAGGTGAATTTTGTAAAACATGATCAAAGTGCATATAGATCCATGTACTGTATCATTTTTGTTCAATTTCTCTCCTGCCTTAATTTTGATCAGTTTAGTCACTTTGATAAATGATAACTGTTATAGACTTATAGATTGAATTAAACATGATTTGGCCAATCCGATTGTATGATTCAAGACTAATTCGAGGGCAGAACGTTGGGGAATACGGAGTACATTCTTTATGCAATAACTAATAATTGATTCATTCTCTGTATATTTATTTTACATAATGTGATCCAGTAAAATGCAGACTCTTCCTTACTCCTTAGTAGGGAGAGCATGAAAGATTACTTCATTCTAATGGCTTTACAAGCCAAGGACACGACTTTGACCTTGTTGGAAGGAACCTTCCTGGTTTCTTTGTTATTTCTCTTCTCCAAATCAAATTCAGAATCTTTACACTTCCAGTTTAATTTCCAGCCTCCATATTTGTTTACAATAACACTGCCAAATCTACTACTCGGTATTAACTTTATTCTAAGGCAGCGACATCATCAATGGGATTCAATGCTACATCATACTACAATGACATGGATATTCATAAATCAGATATTTCACTTAAATAGGTCAAAATCAAATCAATCAACTTCAAATAATAAATTTGTGTGTGTGCGTGGGGAGGGGAAGCAAAACATAAGCTAGCATTTATGGTAGCACTTAATTTTATTTGGTTGCAAAAATATCCCCAAACATTTACAATAAAACCAATTATAAAACATTTTATTACAAAACATTTATGACATCGCCACCAATACTAGGTTGGTAAAGGAATGAAGGGGATGAGCCGAGGAAGAACACTGAACACACAAGCACAAAGCTCTCAATCTTGATTGTTTTGCAACTGAAATGGATTATTTGCAATGGTGATGCATTTTCATGACTAAGGTTGAGGTTTATGGAGTAATGACAGGATAATGTTCGGTAATAGAGTTTTATGACTGCGATGGAGACAGAAGAAAAGCTACTTGTATATACAGAAGGGGACATAAATCATGAGTAATTAGGACTTTATTAGTAGTTAATGTGAGTGGTATACCTGGCAAATTATATGTAATTAATCATATCCCCTTTCAGCACTAAATATGTGACATTTTGGAAACTAAACCCCAGTCACATACAGATGAAATTGAATGCACAGGCATTAAGCTTCATTAAATGTTTTACTGAGGCAGAATGAAACTTCTGCACTTACGATGGGAGTTATGTGACTGCTATGGAGTTTAGTGATCTGTGATGGAGCTTGGCAACAAGATTGTCCATTGCAATGGATTAAGAAGTGGGTGGAATAATGGAATTAATATGAGTTAAAGAGAGAAAAATAACTAGGGCTTAATGTGTTGAAGAAGCGTGCAAGCAGGCCCAAGCGGTAGGATTATTATTTCTTTTACGGAAAAAAACTCATATTCTTAACATATTATGGTAGTCCAACAAATCATATGTAATTAGACATATTATTCCCTCCTTCCCATAAAAAGAGTCCACTTCAATGAATGTAAAAATTTTCAATTTTAGTAAAATATACGGAGGAACTCTTCAACAGCACTAATAAACCTAAGTTCTTAAAATATTTGAGAACAAAGACTTTTTATGTGACAAAACAAGTGGAAAAAATAGGACTTTCTTTGTGGAACTTTGAGAACCCATAAATCACAATGACAAACGATGGAGGAGAAGAATTACAATTTACAGGGGAAGACAGTTTTAAAACCAAGTTCAAGTCTAAGCTACACTCCCTTGGTATGCATTATGTAAAACTGAAACTAACTTGACTCAAAATGTGAGGTTTACTTAAGTCTTAAACAATACTCAGGGTAGAAGATTAGACTTAAAACCAATAGACAACGGATGTGGTAAAGTTAGCAATAAATTTTTTGTAATCTCCTAAGCTGGACAGCATGAGAATGCCCAAATCTTCAGCTATGCAAGCATATTTATGAATAATTAAGTAAACACGAGATAAATAAAGGCTGGAAATTATTCACCTGCACGAGATTGTTTAGCAGATTTTAGCGATTTAGCCATCATCAGTTGAGCTTCCATTAACATATTCATCCTCTGGACCTCAAGTTCTTTTGATACCTCCATCCTGTGCTTCTCTAGTTCCATAATCTGTTGCTGCTTCGAGCTCTCGATCCTCTCGTATATCTCTCCGAATTTCAATATAGCCTGAGCCAATTCCTTGTGTGCGGAAACTTCCTTCAAGAAATCAGCACCCTCTAGTTTACGCTTCCTCCCTGCACCACCAAAGTGCAGGTCATCCTCCCCTGCGCCTTCTCCAAGCGAGCTGCTCTCAGAGCCATCGGAATTGAGCTTAGACGAACCGCCTGAAAAAACTAAAGCGCTAGGGTTAGGGTTTGGGTTGGGTTCCGGCTTAGCTGTCAGCTGCTTGATGGCGGTCGATTTCCCGTTAGAAGACGGCGGCGGAGCAGTGCCGACGAGGTAATCCATACGGCAGTAAAGCGGCCACGCCGACGGAGACGGTTTGGATTTCTCGAGCTTGTACTTCTTCTTCAGAGTATCCACCCGGTTTTTGCACTGAATATCCGTCCGCTGGGGCTTCACGCCGTTCTCACGAGAATTAACGGCGTCAGCGACATCCTTCCAGTCCTTCTGACGGAGGTTACCTCTATTGAGCTTGAGATACCGATCGCCCCACGCTTGTACCAGAGTCTCCGTCGCGCCTTCGCTCCAGCAGTCCTCGCGGCCGCCTGCGTTCGCCCGAGGCTTTCTCTGCGCGGCGGGGCTCGCCATATGACCCCACGGTGCTTGAATTTTGAAGGAGAACAGCGGATTGCTATCTTGCGCCGGAGGTGTAGAGGAAAAGCGCCGCCGGGAGAAGAGAAGAGGATGAGAGGGGAAAGGCGTGTAACGTACATCTGATCGGCAGGGTATTGGACGGCGTGGGCTGTGAGTGACGTCTACTGTTTTTTCCGCATACGTATTTAACTCGTGAAAAAACGAATAAAAATTTATTCTTTTTTGTCAATTCCTACTTTCAAAAAAAATATAGAAATCATCCTATATACAATTAAAACATAGTAAAAGTATCAAAATTAAAGTTTTATATTTTTATTTTTAAAATAGAATTTCACACTATGATAATGTGGTTGTAATGTGGAATAGTACTTGTGCACATTGCTATACTTTTTTGTAATGTACATGACCATGTTTGAAAATGTAAATGTAACTTCTATTTCGAGAATAAAAATGGAGGCCCTATTTTGATATATTTTTAATTTTTTACACCTACTCTAGTCTTTTTTCCCAAAAAGTATCCCTCCCTCCCCACAAGAACCCGCAATTTGAAAGTTTTTGTTAAATTGTGACACATTTAATCGTGAATTATGAAAAAAGTATGTTCAGTTATAATGTAAATTTAGAAAAAATCAAATTCATTTTAGATATTATTTTGAAATATTAAATTTTATAATATTTATTTATTTTAAAATATATGCTCCATATAATTTAAAGTCAAATGGTGCTACACTTTAATCGAAAAGTCAAACTATGACAAATAAAAGTACTTAAGTTTTGTTGTAATAACTAATAGTTGGGAGGGAACATTTCATCAAATACTTCATCCATAGACATTAGTGAATGTGTTGTTTTTGAAAGATCGTTTTTCTTATTTTGTTCTTAGTGTTTTATGCTCTTTTCTTCGAATCGAAAAAAGACTTTTTTTTACACGTCAAAAAAATTGTTTTCTAATCTTTTTCTCTTTTGTATCATTTGTATCTATATATTTTTGTTTTTCTTAAATTTTGTTTCAAGTTAAACATACTTAAAGATTCTTTGGATGAAAGGAGTAATAATGTTTGGGTCCCTCCCTTTTTGGTATCTTTATTTCCTTTTTTTTCTCTTTTTTCCATTTGTTTCCATTTTATAAATATTTGTAAGAAAATTCTTTCTAGATAAATAGTTTCAAAATTTCAATTTTATTATGATATAAATAAGGACCTTGTCATCAAAGAAAATGAGATCTCTTTTTCATTTTAAATTCTTGATATTAAAAAGAAAAACATTAAGGACTTTCGAGGGAAATTTGTTTGCTTTATTTTCTTTTTTTTTTATTCTACTCGGTGTTTGATTTCTTTTAGAATTTTTTTATTTACTTTATTTTTATATTGTACAAACAATTTTGATACATTTTTCTAGAAGAATTTTCAAAAAAAAGAAGAAAACACTTTTAAAAAAACTACGAAACAAAAACATGTGAAACCAAAGAATTATTACCATAAAACATTAAAGACACTCAAATATACGCAGTCTGACCTTATATTTAAGACATGGAGTGATTTTTTTCCAAATGACACATAATGAGTTTTTAAATGTATTTTACTTAACAATTGTTACAAAAATAAAATATAAAACTTAAATATTTAAAAATTATGTTAAAATCATTGCTAAACGAAAAATAGTAAGAATATTTTATGTTATAAAATCATTCATTGAACATATACAAATAAATAAAAACGTGCTGATGAGTAAATATTGTTTGTGATAGACTTAAGCATACAAACTATAAATGATAATAAAAAAAAAAGTAACAAACTCTCGAATTCAGTTGGCTTAACGCCTTTTTTCATTGTTTACACATGCGCTTGTTATGTTAAATAAACAATGAAATATATAAAAGCAAAGTTTTAAAGCGATTGCTTGATTAATAATATGAAACTTTTTGTTTGATAAAAGTTCTTGTCAAATTTTCGAGCTAAGCCACACGGATTGATCTATACAAGCTCCCACTTTGGAGCTACGCACCGAATTCATTAGGCCCAGAGAAAAATAGGACCACTCCGTAAATAAATCGGGAGCCCAACTCAATGAATTTGTGTTGATTTTTGGTGTGTTTGCTTGGGAGAAATATATTTAAAAAAAATTGACTCTATTCTTCTGTGGTTAGTAATATTAAAGTATTTTCCAATAAAATACTCCCTCCGTCCTATAATGATTTTCCCAGATCATTATTCCAACTTCACGGGAATTTATATTTTTATTTGTGTTTTTTCATGGCCTATATGATAAAATAAAATATTCTTGTCACCACTTGTTTTGTTGAACTTTTGGTGTAGTTTTTAAATATGTATGTTTTATTTTTTATTTCTATACCAATATTTAAATAAAATAGATTGAAAAAACTTGGGATTTTTATTCGTTTTGCGAATCGGGGATATCATTATAGGACGGAGGGAGTATTTCCCTTCAATTGTAGAAAAACAATTAACGTTAAAAATCAAAGGGTACGTTTGGTATACGGAATTGGTGGAATTGGAATTGAATTGGAATTGGGATTCTATGAGATTCAATTCCATAAAATTGAATTCACCAATTTCAATTCATTTTTTGCACTATCAATTCTAAATCCACATAATATTTGTGCTACCAAATACACCAGAATTGGAATTAGAGTCCTCAGTTCCAATTCCATAATTTGAATTCCTTCTACCAAACGGGGCCAATGGAATTTGAATTCTCTTTCCGTTCAAATCCACCACACACGCCCCTCAAGCTCCGTCCACCCCTATACCCCTTTTTGACCTTTTAGTTTTAAATTTAAAATTAAAATTTAAATGTTAAATTTTGATATTTAATAATAAAATTTAAATTTTAAAATTTTAAATTCAAATATTAAAATTTAAAACTTAAAATTTTAAAAACAAATTTAAGAATTAAATATTAAAATATTAATTTTTAAATTTTAAATTAAAATTAAATTATTAAATCTTAAATTTTAAAACTAAGGGAGCATTTCGCATTTCTGATAGATCGATCGATCTTGTACATTTCACCCGATTAGAAATCCAATTTATTATTTTACTATTTGGCATTTGGGAGTACACCACTGAAAATCTGAAATTAAACAACAATTGTGAAAGTGTGTTAATTCAAAATGTTTAAATAAGCTATTTTGACGTTTAATACGAAGTACAGCCTTTTAATCCGTGTTGGGCGAGGAAACGAAATAAGGATGAAATAAACTTATTATAATTTACTCTTTAAAAAATACTCCCTATTATCACTCTTTCATTTAAATATTTTAACTTTGAAAAAGGGTGGATTTAAAGAATGCGAGGTTTATGTTGCTTTTAATGTTGTCATTGCTTTATACTACCTCTGTCCCAAAATATTCACAACATTTGCTTTTTCAGCAGTCACGGAAACTTTGGTTTATTTCTAAGTTTTCAATGATTATTTGATAAAATAAAATATTCTTGACACCTCTTATTTTGAAGAACTTTTCATGTAATTTTCTGATATGTAAATTTTATTTTTTATTTCTATACCAATATGTAAATAAAATGAATTGAAAAAGTTTGATATTTTGCCTTGGAAATACAAATGTGGCAAATATTTAGGGACGGAGGTAGTATAATAATGGAATAGTATGTTAAAATAAGGCGTGATATATAGATTAGTACTCCGTAATAAACAAATATGATGTGATAGATTTGCTATTAACTACCCTATGCGTCTATATAGACTCTTCTTGCTTGAAAAAAAATGTGTCTTAAAAATGTATAATTATGATATTATTTTCTAACTATAGCTCATCTATCATACATATCATTTCCAACCATATTTTAAAATAAGGATAAAATTAGAAAATAAAACTAAAATAATACATTTTTAAGGTGTGCCTTTTTTCAAACATGAAATATTTTAAGAACAGAAGGAGTAAATTATTTATGGATAAATAGAAGATTTAAAATGAAAATGGAAGTATTATTTGAGAAAGATGAAACGTAAAACTAAACAAAGTTTTTTGGGACAAACACCTCCCTTTGAAGAGGATTCACGCAATTTGGTAATTGGCGTGATGCTCCCTTCGGTCCAAAATAATGTTAATTATCATTAGGAGTGACATATTTTTATTTTCAAAATAAAACTTTTCACTTTTTATATTTGAATTAAAAAAATAAAAAATATAAACTAAAATTTTAAAATTTAAAAATAATTTAAAATTAATAATTAAAAATAATAAACTTAAAATTTAAGATTTAATATTTAAAATAAAAAATTTACATTTAAAACTTAAAATATAACATTTACACTTTTAAATTAAAAATTTAAAATATAAACTTGAAAATTAAAGATTTAAAATTTAAAATTTAAATTCTAAAATTTAATTATTTAATTTTTTTAGTTTTAGTTTTACATTTTTTATTTTTTATTTTTAGTTTTTTTAAATTATAAGTTTTAGTTTTAGTCTTTTATTTTTATTTTGTACTTTCTGATTTGAAATTTTAAGTTTAAATTTTAAATGTTTAGTTTAAATGTTTTTATTTTATATTTAAACTCTAAATTTTAAAACTTATTGCATATATATTTTTATTTTAAATTTCAATTTTTAACTTATAATTTCTTAATTTTATTTTTAGTTTTTAATCTTATAATTTTTATTTTAATTTTAAAATTTAAATATCAAATTTTAAAGTATATATTTTAAATCTTGAATTTCAAATATATTTGATTTTTCGTGCACAACCAAATCTATAAGACCCGTTATTGACCTAAAAAATATTGCATGATTTCATTTTGACAGGTAGAATTTAAATTGTGGATTTCAAATTCTGTGATATATATAGAATTTAAATAAAGAAATTGGTATGTTTGAAATTTTAATTTTCAAATATTAATAAAAGAAACCAATTGTGTAAGAAAAGATTTTCTTTCTTACCAAATAACGAAAAATATGATTAGAAAATAATTTTTTCCAGAAATCATTTTCTTAAAAGTATTTTGTCTCCCACTAAACACACCCTAAAAAAGAGAAAATTAAACAAGAGATATTTCTGTATTTTTCTTTGTGGTCTTCATGCAATTCCTTCTCGCTTCCCTTTAAACAAACACGCCATTAACATCGAATACAACGGAAGACGACCAAAACAAAGAAGGATGAAAAAGGTGGGCATGTGT